GATACTGGAATGGTTTGCCATTTCCTTCTCCAGCTCATTTTCCAGATGAGGAAACTGAGACAAACTGGGTTAAGTGACTTGCCCAGGGTCACCCAGCTAGAAAGTGTCTAAGGCCAAATTTGAATTCAGGAAGATGAGGCTTCCTGTGAACTGAGTGTCTGAGGCCAGAGTTGAATTTGGGTCTTCCTGACTCCAGGCGCAATGCTCTATCCACTCAATCACATAGCTGCCTCCAAAGCGAACAGAGGTTAAGTAACTTGCAAACAGAGGTTAAGTGACTTGCCCAGGGTGTCGCATAGCTAGTAAGTGTCTAAGGCTAGATTTGAACTCAGGTCTTCCTGATTCCTGGCCTGGTACTCTATCCACTGAGCCACCCACCTGCCCCTAAATTAATGTAAATAGTATAGCAAGGTAAATAACAAGGAGAATTCCCCTTCCTTCTTTCCCACTTCTCCTCCCCCCAATAATACACTGGGGCACACTGTCACTGATTCCTATGCCACTAGTAGGAGAAGAGAGGGAACACAGGAATTACTAGGCAAATCTCTCACTCTTAGCAATGCATCTTAGCACAAATGTCTCTTCCCTGTACCTGCCACCTTTCCATCTTTTCTGTTCTGGAACCATAATCAAATCAATCCTGATATTGTTCCTGCAAAGAATATAACAATCTACCCTCTCGTGGTTTCATTTACCCTCTTGGATAACTTTCTAAAACAAAATTCTCCTTCTGTCACCCCAACCCAGATGCCAGACCTGGAGTCAGAAAAACTCATCTCCTTATGTGACTCTTGACAAATTACTTAACCTATATCTGCTTCAGTTTTCTCATCTGTAAAGTGGGTAATAATAATGGCACCTACTTCTCAGGGTTGTTGTGAGGATAAAAATGAGATGGTACTTGTAAAGGCCCAGCTAGATGGCTCAGTGGATAGAGCGCTGAGCCGGGACTCAGGAAGACCTGAATTCAAATTTATCCTCAGACACTCACCAGCTGTGTAACCCTGGGCAAGTCACTTAAGCTCTGTTTGCCTTAATCCACCAGAGAAGGAAACGGCAAACCACTCCAGTATCTTTTGCCAAGAAAACCCCATGGAGGGTATTGGCGTGCTGTGACTCAAGGGGTCACAAGACCAAACACACACACACACACACACACACACATACATGTATATACATATACTATTTTTATTCCACCCATTGTTCTTAAATTCTGCCCCTTAGGATTAAGGAAAATCAAGTCTATTCTGTCTTCCAAATGACAGCCTTTCAAATACTTGAAGGCAGCTAGCATGTCACTCCTGAACCTTGTCTACTCTAGGCTAACTATCCCCAGTTCCTTTAACCAACCCTTATGTGGCACCAGCCCACCCTCACTGAAGGAGCACTTTGCTCCCTACACTTCTCCAATGGACTATCTTTTAGTCACCTATGTACGTGTCATACCCCCTTACTAGATTGTAAATTCTGTGCCTGCAGGAATGATTTCATATCTAAACCTGGCAGCTGTCCCAGTCTCTTGTGCATGTAGGAGTCAATCAAGGTTGAACTGATTTTGTAGTTGAAAGAATGTTAGCTAATAGATTGATATCAAACTGGACAAAAATTGTCAAAGTGACTACCCTTGGGCTCAGGTTCAATATATGTACACACATATATACTTTAATCATTTACTTAGATTCATTAATCATTTACAGGGGGCATTTTTTAAGTTTACAGATGCAATAAAGTTAGTAGGGATATTTAATGTCTTAGATAATGAAATCAGGATCCAAAAATCCTCCCAGAGGTTAGAACAGGACTAAAACTAAGATGAAATATAATAGGGACAAATAGAAAGTCCTATATTTGGATTAAAATAAAAGCCATCTGCATAAGTAGAATACTGGAGAGAGACGTAACTAGATAGCAAATTCACATAAAAAGACTCAAATCTTTTAGAGGTTGTGTTTTTAACCTGAGTCCAGCAGACCACTGCTAAAAAAGAATGCTGTCTTGGGTTTTTAATAAAAAGAGTGATGGTTGAGATAATCTTTGCCTTGGCCCAGAGCAGGAGTTCTTAACTTTTTTTGTATCATGGATCCTTTTGGCCATCCGGTGAAGCCTATTCTGAGGTCTCTTCTCAGAATAAGATTTTTAAATAATTGAAGCAATTGCTACATTTCAATTAGAGGTTAATGAAAGTAAAGATGCATTTTTTTCCATACCCAAGTTCACAGATGCCTTGGAATCTATCCATAGACCCCAAGTTAAGAACACCTGATCTACAGACTGTATCTACTTCTGAATGATGCACTTTAAAAGAGATATTAACATTTGAGAAAAATCCAAAAAAGAGTGAACACTACAGTGTGTCTTGAAACCATACTACGTTATTGTTCAGTCACATCTGACTATTCATGGCCCCATGGATCAACTGTTACTGGGATTTTCTTGCAAGGATACTGGAGTGGTTTGCCATTTCCTTCTTCAGTTTTGTGCAGGCAGGGGTTAAGTGACTTACCTAGGGTCACACAGCTAGTAAGTGTCTGAGGTTACATTTGAACTCTGGTCTTTCTGACTCTAGGCCCAGTGCTCTTATCCACTTCAGCACCCAGTTGCTCCATACCACAGAAGGTAGCATTTAAACGAACTGGGGTAGGTCAGCCCAGAGAAGACTTAAGATAAGCATAATTCCCTTCTTCACTTATACAAATATACTCCAGCCTCCAATTTCCATCAAAATTCTGTTCACATGACAAAGCTTTGTTCAAATGCTGAAGCCTCCACAAAGTTATGCCTGACCATAGACTTAGATTTGTATGAGACCTTGGAGATTGTATAGTAAGAGAGAGGTTAAGTGTTTACAATTTCCCTCTCCAGTGATAAATGAATGTCTTTAGATTTTTGGACTCTGATCAATGCACATTAAAAGTGAGGGGAGGGGGAAGAAGGCTCAGTTGGCAGATTTGTTTGTTCTGTTTTGCAATTAACAAAAGGGGAGTGACTATTGCAAAATCAAATTTTTTTTTCCTGATTGCAAAATCAAATTGAACACAAGAAGAGTTGACTGCGCTACATTTGGCATATTGGATTTCTTTTGGTAACTCCAAGTCTTTCCCTGAAACAAAAGCTGATCTTTTTATTACTTTCCTTTTAAAAAAAAAATGAACTTAATAAATATGAACATTTCCATATACAAAGAAAAACAGAAAAAGATTGTATATGAAACCATGAATGTTTCATTGATTTCTTTCCTTCCCTTCCTTTCCCATATAAACATACACAGATAGTATATGTTGTGTATGTGTATGTGTGTATGTATATACATATGTTACTTGTTTATATATTATTTACATATGTGTGTATACACTCACACATATACTGTCTTTTATAGACAAAGTCCTTCCACAAGCAAAACACAAGCTGATGGTACAGGTATTTTCCCATTATTTTTGGACTTTCTTTCATTGTTTTGTCCCCATGCAAACTCCTTCCTATGATATAAGTAGAGAAAAGAAATCCCGAATTAGTTAGGAATTTACTCTTCAGAACAACACAGACTACGTGCTTTCCTGCAGGACAGTTCTTCAGATAAATAAAGCTAATAATGGTCATATTCTCCCTAAATCTTCTCTTTTCTGAGCTTAACCGTCCTAGTCCTTTCAACCTGTTCTCATGTTTTGGCTTTGACCCTCGTTATCTTTGCTACCCTTGGTATTCTCTCTAGAATATGAACTTCCCTTTTAAAACGTGGCTTTCAAACCTGCACACAGTGACCCAGATATAGTCTAACGAGTACAAATACAGAGAGTAGAGAGAAAGTGGAGGAAGAACTGGAAACTGAGAGGTGGATAGGCCGCCAGATAAAGCTTCTAATACTCTAGTTTGAATGAGCATAATTTTTAGAGCCTAGCAATGTTATTGAAAGCTTTAAGGTAGCTTTGAAAGAAGCTTAAATCTGCCTCCTTGTGGCCAAAATCAATGTCTGCTTTGAGGTTTTTCTTGTTTTCACCGACAATATTAGCAATGATAGAAATTCGATTTATTTTTTTTTACCCTGGTCTCAGTCTCTGCCTTTGCTCTATCTCTGTCTCTCTGTCCCTCTCTATGACTGCCTGCTTCATTTAAAAAAACACACACAAGCACAAAAATTTGTCATTGCAGATTGAATTATAGGGTCTGTGTGTGTTTCTCGCTGGGAAGTGACTAGACAAGTCAACTTGTTAGTTTCGCTTTATTCAATTGATATTTTCTTTTAAATCACATAACCATTTCTACATTTTTATTTCTACATAAATGAATTTATTTCTACATAAATGGATTTTTGAGTTGCGGGTTTGCATTTTCATCTTTGTTCCTCTATTCCTGTTATTTTTGGATTATTGCAGGGGTGCAAAAGGAAGGCAGACTGCCACGTGCAGCGCCTCATTTGGATGTGTCTGGAGTCTTGGAAGCTTGACTACCCTACGTTCTCCTACAAATGGACCTTGGGAGCTTGTTCTAGCAGGGGAGCGCAGCTACTCGTATACCCTTGACCGAAGAACGGTACGCCTCTATCGGGGAAGGTCGTCCTCTTCGACCGAGCGCGCAGCTTCGGGAGGGACGCACATGGAGCGGTGAGGGAGGAAGGGGACACCCGCCTAGCCAGCCAGATCAGCCGAATCAACCCTGGCGATCAATGGGGTGACAGATGTCGCAGCCAGATCGCCCTCACATCCAACAGCTTCTTGGAGGCGTTCAGTATATAGAGCCGACAAGTAGGTTTTCTTTACACGTGGGGTGACCACGCGCAAAGTAAACGCAAGAATCCGAAGGGGCACAGTTCCATCGCCTCCTAAAGAACGCTGTTTTTTGCGCCCTCTTCGGATACGTAATAATAGTTGAATTGTTTTGCAATTTGGGATTTTTTTCTCCTCCCCATGATACCTTGCAGCTGGGCTGGGCATGCAAAGCACCAGAGTCACCATTGGTAGATTTGCTCCAAAGTCCTCGCCCACTTCGCATAAGTAGGACTCCAGCTCGGTGCGCCCCAGCCAATTTTCGTCCAGAAGCTGCTCTTCTTGGATACCTGCTCGCAGGACGCTCTTCCCCAGCTGCGGACGGTGAGAATGTGCATAAGTCATAGCGCTCCCGGGCCTCTCCCTCTCTGCCCCTTCGCTACCTGGGCTCTGCTTTCGCTGCTAACCGGGTCCCCGCATCCCTATACTAGCTCCAGAGGGTCTCTGCTTTGCAGCGGAGCCCACCTCCCCACACTCCACCTTTACCTCCTCCTCTCTCCCAGTTTAGGACTCTATGCCAGTTGTGGGGAAACAGGGATTCTAGTCCTAGTTTTGCCACTGTGACATTTGACAAGTCACTTAATCTCAAGGTGTCTTGGTTTCCTCATCTGTAAAATAGGTGTGATGATAAGCGCTCAAAAGGCTGTACCTCTAAAGTACTTTGAAAAATCGAGGTCCTGTTATAGCAGTGGTTGCTTCTTAAATTTGTCTTGGTGGAGCTGCACAGGGACAGACCTTTCTCTGGGAAGGAGTCCTACCTGAACTGCCCAGGAAAACAAGTAACTTTCTTTTGAGAAAGGTCTTTCTTGACCCAGAGGGCTGGACAACAGTTCCAAACCCGAAGTTGCCGAAATAGTCTTTAAGAAACTATTGGAGATGGGGCGGAGCCAGGATGGCAGAGTAAAAGCAGTGTCTTGCTTAAGTTCTCCCCCAAAGCCCTCCAAATATCTATAAAAAGTGGCTCTAAACAAATTTCAAAGCAGAAGAACCCACAAAAAGACAGAGTGAAACAAATTTCTGGCCAAAGACAGCCTGGATGGTTGATCAGAAAGGTATATTGGGCCGGGCGGGGAGAGGAGTGCAGTGAAGCATGGGCACACAGGCAGCTGTGGCGGTTTCCAGACTTCTCAACCCACAAATGCCAAAGACAACTTAGAAAGTCAGTAGGAAAGGTCTGTGCTTGTGGTGAGAGAGAAGCTTAGTCCCAGCCCCCCAGTCCCCGTGCAGCCCTGGAGGTGTGGCTGTGGTGCAGGAATTTCTTGCTTTGCCCCTGCTTGAATCTGGGTCACAGTTCTGGGTGGCAGTCTTGGGGCGAGGAGGAGCACTGGTGTGGTGGAGCTTGTAGTGGCTGTGGAGAGGAAAACCTCCTCACAGTTCCAAGACAGAAAAGAGTGCTCATAGACCAAGCACAGGCCAGGAAAGGAGTAAACACCTCACCCTTGATCATATCACCTTGGAAGTACTGAAAATTTACAGGTCCCTAGAAGTATCTCTGAAAACAGCTGCACAAAACCCCTGAAGCTCAGGACAGTATATTCTCCACACTGGAAACAGACCCCTACCTTAAGAAAGAGTTTATAACTCAAGTAATTGGCCAAGATCATGAGCAAGCAGCGCAAAAAGAGTCACACTATATTATCTTACTTTCATGACAAAGAAGATCAAAATATATAACCAGAAGAAGACAGCGAAGTCAAAGCTCCTACATCCAAAGCCTCCAAGAAAAATATGAATTGGTCCCAGGCCATGGAAGAGCTCAAAAAGGATTTTGAGAAGCAAGTAACAGAAATAGAGGAAAAACTGAGAGTGATGCTAAAGGAGACCCCAAAAAATACTGAAGAAAATAACACCTTAAAAAATAGCCTAACCCAAATGGCAAAAGAGGTCCAAAAAGCTAATGAGGAGAAGAATGCCCTAAAAAGTAAAATTGGCCAAATGGAAAAGGAAGTCCAAAAGACTACTGAAGAAAATACTTCCTTAAAAATTAGAATGGAGAATTGGAAGCTAGTGACAATTTGAGAAATCAAAGCACTGTAATACAAATCCAAAGGAATGAAAAAATAGAAGAGAATGTGAAATATCTCATTGGAAAAACAACTGACCTGGAAAATAGATCCAGGAGAGAGAACTTAAAAATTATTGGACTATCTGAAAACCATGATCAAAAGAAGAGCCAAGAAATTATCTAGGAAAACTGCCCTGATATTTTAGAACCAGAGGGCAAAATAGAAATTGAAAGAATCCACCAATCACCTCCTGAAAGAGATCCCCAAAGGAAAACTCCTAGGAATGTTGTAGCCAAATTCCAGAATTCCCAGGTCAAGGAGAAGATATTGCAAGCAACCAGAAGGAAACAATTCAAGTATTGTGGAAACACAATCAGGATAACACAAGATTTAGCAGCTTGTATATTAAGGGTCCGGAGGGCATGGAGTATGATATTCCGGAGGGCAAAAGAGATAGGACTACAAGCAAGAATCACCTACCCTGCAAAACTGAGTATAATCCTTCAGGATAAAAAATGGTCATTCAATGAAATAGGGGACTTTCAAGCATTCCTGTGGAAAAGACCAGAGCTGAATAGAAAATTTGACCTTCAAATACAAGATTCAAGTGAAACATGGAAGAAGTAAACAGGAAAGAGAAATCGTAAGAGATTTATTAAGGTTGAACTGTTTACATTCCCTCATGGAAAGATGATATTTGTAACTCATGAGTCCTTTGTCAATATTAAGGTAGTAGAAGGGGAAAAAAATTATATGTGTATAGATAGATAGATAGAGGGCACAGGGTGAGCTGAAGATGAAGGGGTGATATCTGGAAAACAAAATTAAGGGGTGAGAGAGGATTATACTGGGAGAAGGAGAAAGGGAGAAGTAAAATGGGAAACAGACAAGAAAAGGCTTTTACAGTGGAGGGGAAATGGGGGAAGGTGGAGAGGGAATGAGTGAATCTTATTCTCATAGGATTTGGCTTAAGGAGGGAATAACATACACAATGGGGTATGGAAATCTATCTTACCCTACAGGAAAATAAGGGGGAAGGGGACAAGAGAGTAGGGGGTTGATAGAGGGGAGGGCAGATTGGGGGAGGGGATAATCCAAAGCATACACTTCTGAGGAGGGACAGGGCCAAAAGAGAGAATAGAATAAATGGGGGGTAGGATAGGATGAAGGGAAATATACTTAGTTTTTCACAACTGAACTACCTTGGAAGTGTTTTGCGTGACTACACATCTATAACCTATATGGAGATGCTTGCCTTTTCAATGAGGGTGGGTGGGGAGGAAGGGAGAAAATTTGTAACCCAAAGTTTTAAAAACATATGTTAAAAATAAAAAATAAACTATTGGAAATAACTGTTAATCTTCCCTCCTGGTAAGAGGATGGAGTGAATGTTTTGAATTCTGAAAACTCTTTTTCTCCTGGACAGAAGTGATAGATGTCCATTCGAAAGAATCAGAGTGTTCTGATAACCAGTTACTGTGTGAGTGGGCTGTCCCCTGTCTTATTTTTTTCCTTAAATAAAAATGGTTCTAATCCATAAATTCTTTCCCCATAGAAAGTATTAGACATAGTGGTTAGTTGGTCAGGCTAGGCCAGGCCAGCCCATTAAAACATAATTACCTATAATGTCCCTGAAGGATTGGCTGACCTGGGGAACCCAAGCACTAACTTATCAGAGCTCTAAGGTTCATCTCCAGAGAGCTGGCCACCAAATGATTGGTGGTGAGAAAGATAAGGGGACACCCACATTTCATGGAGTCTTATCTACTAATCTGGGGGGGTGGAGGGTAAAGATTTGTCAATCTTTTAAAGTATTGAAGATATTCTTTCATCTATAGTTAAAAACCACTTTTGTGCGAAGAGCACATGAATTTTTCTTTTTTTATACCCTCTCTTCACCTTTCCTCCCCACAATTCCCTCTTTTTTGGGGGGGGGGAGAGTTTAAGACTGAGCCCCAGTACTTGTTAACTTTCTACCCTTTCATTTTTCCATAAGAATTGTATTTTGTAAGTGAATACAAATCCTTTGGTTTGTAATTGGTGTTCTGACAATCAAATACTGTGCTGGCAGACTGTACCCGTCTTTAAAAAAAAGTATAATTTTAATAAAAAAAAAATTTTCCCTTGGAAACAGTGTTAGAAATAGTGGCTGAGTGGCCTGGGTTGTCCACAGAAACTTAATTAACCTATAATGTATCTGAATTCTGTATCTTCTGGAGATATGGGGCCTCTCTGAGTTGATCATTACCTAGGTGTTTTGAATTAGGGAACAATCTGTAGTTGGTGGGGGTATTGAGTGAGTGATGAAGATTCTCTTGTTTGACTCTCTCTGCTCGGTTAATTTTAAGTTATTGAATTATAAAGTCCCTCTCAAGGACTTAATAATGCTAAGTGGGGAAGAGGAAATATCAGGGAAAGGGGGGGAGCAACTGCCAGAATTAATAATTTTGAAAAATGAAATGGGGAAGTTATTATCAGGCTTGATTTGGAATTAGAGGTTGTGAGAAATAAATGTCATGGGTTTTTGAATAATGATGGAAAGGGGGTATACTTCAGTCTCATTAGGATGTAGACCAGGATAATAACAATAGCTAACATTTACATAGCTTACTATGTGCCAGGCACTTTATAATTATTATCTCCTTTGGTCCTCACAACAACCCTGGTTGGTAGGTTATCAGCTGAGGAAACTAAGTCAGAGATTAAATGACTTGCCCAGGATCACATAGCTGTTATCTGAGGCTGGATTTGAACTTGGGCCTTTTTAACTCCAAGACACTCTCTATTCACTATATTACCTTTGTATTCTAACTGCCTAAGAGTATACTTTGCAGGACAAGGTACTTAGTCAATATTTGGTGAATTAAATTAACTCAATACCTTATGATGTGGTCATGGACCGGATGTCTCAGACTCAATTTCCTTATCTGATTAAAAAAAAAAAAAAGGCATTGGGCTAAGTCCTTTCTAGCTCTAAAATCATTTTTTCTTCAGTCTTAAATCTTTTCAGAGGCCACCTAGTCTGTTTTTTCTCTCCTTCCTTCTTTCCCCTCTTGACTTCTCTTTTCCCCAGTGTATGTCCTTCTACTATTCTTCTATCATTAACCTTGTCCCCCTCTTCTTACTCTTCTCCTTAGATAAGACTGAATACTTATCATCTTCTTTAAAGGTTGTTTATTTTTTTTTAAAGTACACCCAGGACTATACTTTAAAAAGAGATTTCATTGGGAAGCAATGACCTAAAAAACCCAGATAATAGAGGGACACAATGTAAGCAAATATTTTCTGGTTTTTGTTGTTATCTTCTATGGTGCCTGGTTTTTGTTTTTTTTTATTAAATGGAGAAAATAGCAGGATTAAGATCATGTGTTTAAGGCTGAAAGGGCCCTAGACAACACCTAACCTAGCTTCCTCATTTTATAGATGAGGTAATGGAAACCCAAAGTGGCCTGCCTACCCAAATCCACACAGTCAGGGGACAGTGGTTTATATGTAGTCCTTCTGCCTCCAAATGCAGTGCTCTTCCTTTTGTATCACAATCTTTACAGATAATTAGATGTTTGCCTTGTATAGTTTTCTATTTCGTATATGTGTCTGTCTTTCTACCAACATTGCATGTGCTGTGTCTTTTACAGACATACCCCTCCCTAACACAGCTGGTTGATTATAATGAACCAATCTTCTATAAATGCCACATACCAGATCACAAATCAGATCAAGATTTCAAATATTTAATCTAGTGCCAACTGTATGCATGGGATTATACTGGGAACATGAAATCCAGTCTCATCTAAGTGTCACATATATGTATATATACATTTTTTTTCTTTTTCAGAAAACTCGAAACATCACAATGGCAAATAAACCTATCCTCCACTACTTTAACGGAAGGGGCAGAATGGAATCCATTAGATGGCTCTTAGCAGCAGCTGGAGTGGAGGTTTGTCTAATTGGGGGTGAGGGGGAAAGGTGGTAGGGAACTTTCCAAGGAGATTTTGTTGTTCTCAAGCTCTGCGACATCTTAGAACAAGCTGGGGCCTAAACATCTCTAGTTATTATACTCAATCCCTTCTTCTAGCCAAGAGATGTCTCCCCCAAAAGTTGACTTGTGCATATTGATATACTTTTTTTTCCCCAGTACAATCTTACTTTCTAATTGCTTTTTTCTTTATAGTCTTAGAGATACTTGATCATCAGTCTGGACTGAAAGGTACCTTAGAGGGTCATTTAATCCAATCCTCTCTTCTTAAAAATGTGAAAACTAAGTCCCAGAATGGTTAATGATTTGCTGAAGGCCCTAAATTTAGTATTTAGAGTTTAGTATTTAGTTCAGTATTTAGAGAGCTTCCTATGTACAAGGAATGAATCAACATTTAGCAGTGGCTCTCAATAAAGTGAACATTAGTTTTTTCCTCAACTCCCAAAGCTTTTTAGTACAGGGTCTAGGATAAGGTATTTGTGGTCTGTGAGAAGGATTTGAATCCCATACATTTTGGTGAAGTATGAATATATGTTGATGCTTTTGGGAACATTTTCACTGGCTTTGTTTAAAATCAAAGATCTCTTAAATAAATAGACCATAATGCCCTTAAAAAAAAAAAAAGGTGGGAACTTGTTTTGCTTGTCTATGAATATTTGTTATAGGGACTTTCTTTTCTTTTTCCCTTGTTTTTCTTTTTTTCCCCCTTGATGGAAGGGGGAGGTAGGAGTGAGAGAAAATAAGTACTATTTAATTTTTACAATTTTAGATTGAAAAAAAAAAGGAAAGAAAATCAGGCTCCCTGTGAAGCTGAGGCTTTGAGCCTTCACTGTAACTAACATGCAATTTTTTTTTTTTTTTTTTTAGGCAATTGGGATTGAGTGGCTCAGGGTCACACAGCTAGTGTCAAGTGTTTGGTCTGAGGCTGGATTTGAACTTGCCGTCCTCCGACTCCAGGGCCAGTGCTCTATCCACTGCGCCACCTAGCTGCCCCCAACATGTATTTTTTTTTTTTGCTCAAAAAACCAATACCTAGGAGGTAGCTACGTGGTACAGTGGCTAGAGTCTGGCCTTGGAGTCAGAAGGACCTGAGTTCTAATCCAGCTTCAGACACTTGATACTAGCTGTGTGACCCTGGGCAATTCATTTAATCCCGGTTGCCTCGCCAAAAAGCAAAACAAAACAAAAAAACAACAACCCAATACCTACATGTTGCAGGGGGCAGAATTTTCTGACATTATGTACATTTATAAGAAGGTGATATTAAAAATTGTCCATTGTGTTCACCTGTTGGGTTGCTCTCCTCCGTGACTGTCTACCTTGCCTTCCCCTAGTCCTGGTATAGGCTTTTAGTATCTCTTCCATATAATTAATAAAACTAGTATAGAATAATTAATAAAGCTAGTCAGCAAATTTGTAAATGAAGTAGGAGAGGTCCTACAAAAAGAGATTTGTATTGCCATTATGAAAATGGAATAATCCCTATTTAAAGATCAGTGATTTCCCTGGGGGGTATCACAGCCCCAGCTCTTACTTGTGTATTATGTTAGTTTGCAGAGCAAACAGGTTTTGTGAGCTGCTATGACAAAAATATATAATTCTTCACTTGGTGACCAGCCGTGCTGGGGTGAGCCATTCAAAAGTTAGCTAGGCGGGTCTTCAGATGACTAAAGTCCAGTTTGTCTTTGAACATGCAAACAAAGCTTTTCTGGCTTAGTGGGACTTGAAGTTTGCAGTCATCCGCGCACCCAGGTTCACCAAGAAGATCAGTTCAGCCAAGTAAATAATTAGCAAGCATTTATTAAGGCCTGTGACATATCAAACACTGCGTTAGCCTGGGGGGCAGCAAAGACAGGTGTAACTTGACCTAGGTTCCAAACCCTCAAAGAGCTAATATTTGATCAGGGGAGATAATATGCATACTTATACGAACAAATATGTAACACATATATAAATAAATCACACCCGCATATTAATATATACATATGTAAACACACACTCTTCTGAACTGCCTATGACATTTCCTAATATTTTGCATTTCTATTTTTATTTTAGTTTGAAGAACAATTTTTTGAAACAAAAGAACAATTAGAAAAGTTAAGAGCAAGTGAGTATAAAAAAATGCAGTGCAAACTCTGGAAGGCATCATCATTCAGTGGAAACAATGATTGTCTTTGGAATTAGAACATCTTGGTTTGAATTCTGGCTCTGCCTACCACTTACTACTTGTGTGACTTTGGACAAGTCATTTAACCTTTATGGGGCTCACTGTCTTCATGTGTAAAATGAGAGTTTGGATCAGGTGACTTGTAAGGTCCCTTCTATGATCTTGCCTTTAGTTTTTATTAACCTGAAGGAAATCATCAAAAACACTGTCCTAATATAATTAGAATGGGAAAAACAAGTTTTTAAAAGGAAAATACCTTTAACTACACTATAGGATGACTGATAATATAAATGTGGACTATCTGGTCTGCACCCAATGTAGTACACAAATTAACACTAAGGTATAGCTCAAAGTGGGACTGGTAGGTGGCACAGTGCATAGAGTTCTGAGGCTGGAGTCAAGAAAACCTGAGTCAAATTTGGCTGTGTGACCCTGGAGAAGTCACTTAACCCTGTTTGTCTCAGTTTACTCATCTCTAAAATGAATTGGAGACGGAAATGGCAAACCCCTCCAGTATCTTTGCCAAGAAAATCTCCAATGGGGTCATGAAGAGTAGGAAATGACTGACCAACAACATAGCTCAAAGTTACACACCAAGCAGACATAAAGTTACTAAAGTGCCTCAGTCTTCTACTTTAGTGAACTTGAAGAGACTGTGTGCATTTATTCATTTGACATGAATTTATTCATTAAACACCTACTGTATACCGGGTACTATTGCTTGGTGCTACAGACACCAAGTCAAATATAAAAATCCAGTTCTCACCCTTAAGGAGATACAACATTCAAACAGATCAATACAATGTAATTTGAGGAGAGACGGGGGCACTGATAACTCATCACCAGGAATCCTGTTTGGTTGTTAGGGCATGTTTCTGAAGAATTTTACAAACACTAGAGGTCCCTTCCCCTCCCTCTTCCCTAGGGACCAAGGATGTCTCTACTACTAATTCCAATACCTCTAAAATCTACAGATTCCAGTATACTGTGCTGCATGAGACATGGGAGGGTATATAGCATTCGTCTGGGAGTTGGGAGACCTGAATTCTGGTCTTCACTCTGCCACTAAATCACTGTGTGGCCTTCAACATGTTACTTCACTGCTCCAGGGCTTAGTTTCCAGCTCTGTGAAAAGAAATACTGGACAAGGTCATCTCTGAAGGTCCCTTCCAGGTCTAATATTCTGTGATCTTTTGTGTGTCCTTTGTAAATGAAGCTGCCTTAGTTGACCTCTCATTGGTAAGATGTTTGTATATATTTGGCTTCTTCATGTTTTACCTAGTTGGGATGATGGATTTTTATTTATCCACCCGCATTTGACTCCTCTTTTACAAGATGGCCAGCCTATAGTAAGAGTGGCGATCTGTGACCAGGAAGCACCTCCTATGATATGTGCCAGACACGGAGCTAAGTTCTGAGGATGCAAAGGAAGGCAAGAGACGCATCTCTGCTCTTAAGTTGCTCCCAGTCTAATGGAAGCAAGAATATGCAAACAACTATGCACATGTAAGATATATACGGGGCAAATTGGAGATGATCAGTAGAGGACAGGCACCAGACTGAAGGGGAATCAGGAAAGGCTTCCTGTAGAAGGTGGCATTTTAATGAAGCGCATTGGTTGGCAGGCACTGGACATTAGCCAAGGGTCAAATTATTCAGTGGCTTTAGCTTCATTAACCCAGTATTCCAACCAGTTAGCAATAATATCAATATTAATAACTATCATTTATATAGCCCTTTAAGGTTTGCAAAGTGTTTTACAAATGTCTCATTCTTCTTTCACAACAACCCTGGTATGTAGATGCTATTATCATCCCCCATTTACAGATGGGGAAATTAAGGCCTATAGAAATTTGACTGACTTGCCCAACTCACACAATTGATAAGTGTCCAAGGCCAGATTAGAATTCAGGTCTTCTTAAATCCAGGTTCAGGGCTCTATCCATAGCAGTTTTTGTTAAGTTCCCCATCCACTCATCAATGCTATGAATAAAAGTGTGTCTCTCTTCCTCTCCTTAAAAACTAAAAGGGCCGTGGGTGAGACTAGCACTCCTTTTGTATCTTGGTTCCATGCACAAGGCCTTCTATCCTTCCATCATGTCAATATCTTCTTTTAATTTTCTTGCTGGTTTGCTGCTCCAGGATCTGACAGTACAATCTTGTGGTTTATATGAGTTGCAGGTTGCCAAAAGTTTTGACTTCTAAGCCTATACTTTCTGTCTTCAGCTGCCCTGCTGTTCCAACAAGTGCCAATGGTCGAAATCGATGGGATGAAGCTGGTTCAGTGCAGAGCCATTCTCCACTATATTGCTGAGAAACACAATCTACTTGGGAAAGACCTGAAGGAGAGAGCGACGTGTGTGACGGTTTTGTGCTTGCTTGGGGTTGACTTGGCTAAGTAGTTAGCTGGCCCTGTCCCATACAGTTGCCATACACAAACAGACTCTTCATTCTTCCGTATGATATTGCTTTGAGTAATGAGCAAAGGACTGGCGCGTCGTTAGGACCATTTTAGCCTTCAGTTGTCTGCATACCTTTTGATTCTTAAGAACTTTTTTTTTCAGGAATTTAACACAGAGGTCTACAGTTCAAAGAAGCCCAGCCTTCCTTTTTTTCACCCTCCAGTTCCTCAGTAGTGGGATTTCCCAACACATGTTGGGAAAAGCCTTTAGAGATAGGAAGCAAAGACTGGCTGGGAGAATGAGGAATGAATTACCTTCTCTGATTTGTGACAAGACTTTTTAGGAGGATTTTTTTTTTTTTTGGTGAGGCAACCAGGGTTAAGTGACTTGCCCAGAGTCACACAGCTAGTAATTGTCAAGTGTCTGAGGTCAAATTTGAATTCAGGTCCTCCTGACTCCAAGGCTGGAGCTCTATCCACTGTGCCACCTAACTTCCCCAGGATTGATTTTTTTTTTTTAAAGAATTCCTTGACTCCACAAAGCACCTTTACTTTGAAAGGATTTAGCTTTAGTGAAAGAGCAGGCTTCCAGGTACCCCTGCTATTGTGGTTCAAAGATGTTTAGTTGGGGAAACTAAGAAAAGGAAACATTAACTGAGACACTCCTTTTTTTTTTTTAAGGATTATCATGTACTCAGAGGGAACCATGGATCTGATGGAGCTACTCCTTATGTACCCTTTCCTAAAAGGAGAACAGCAGAAGCAAAAACTCGATGAAATCACTAACAAGACCAAGAACAGATACTTCCCTGCTTATGAAAAGGTAAATGACAGAAGAGCTGATGCACTTAGAATGATGAAACTAGAAAAAAAAAAGAGAGAGGAGAGGAGCAGGAGCTAGGGCAGTTCTTGAAATGATTTTTCCTCTGCTCCATTTTTTTTTTTTCATAAAACTAACCTCAGGAGAACATCTTTTAGATGGCTGAGAACTTATGATAGTGTACCATAGTGGATGGAGGCAGGAAGACCCAGGTTCTAGTCCAAATCAAATGCAGGTGGGCATTGTGACTTTATGTGTCACTTAAAGTCTCTCAGTGCTCCAGGCTGCTGCTACTATTATTACTACTTCTAGCTAACATTTACATGGAGGCGTCTGGATAGCTCAGTGGATAAAGCATTCGGCATGGAGTCAGGAAATCCTGAGTTTGAATCCAGCCTTAGACAATTACTAGCTGGGTGATGTTGGGCAAATCACTTAACCTCTGTTTACCTTAATCCAGTGGAGGAGGAGATGGCAAACCACTCCAGTATCTTTACCAAGAAAACCTCATAGATAGTACTGGTGTGGTATGGTCCACAAGGTCACAAAGAGCTGGACATGACTCAACAAAACAACAACATTTATTTATATAGCCCTTGTTATGTGCCAGGCGCTGTGCTAAGTACTTTATAATTATTATCTCATTTTGATCCTCACAACAACCCTGGGAGGTAGGTGCTATTCTTATCTGTATTTTACAGATGAGGAATCTTGGATATACAGAGAATGAAGGGCTTGCCCAAGGTCACACAGTCATTAGGTGTCTGAAGCTGGATTTGAACTCAGGTCTTCCTGACACTATATCCCGGCACTATATCCACTGCCCCACACAACTGCAGACCATTAGTTACAGAGAATGTCATTGGTAAGAGAAGTTCTTTGCTAGGATCTCCCTAACACCCTGAAATTGTGAATCTTGTCCAAAAGGAACAAGAAGAAGAAAGATGAAACACAATTACAAAACCAGCATGCTCTGGGGGCAGCTAGGTGGTACAGGGGATAGAGCACCTGCCCTGGAGTCAGGAGGACTTGAGTTCAAATGTGGCCTCAGACTAGCCATTTGACACTAAATAGCTGTGTGACCCTGGGCAAGTCACTTAACCCCAGTTGCCTAAAAAATAACAACAACAAAACCAGCATGCTCCTGCCTCATTCACTATTACCTGGGTTTCTTTGATCAAGTCACTTAATCTCTCTGGGCCTCAGTTTCCTCATCTATAAAACAAGGGGGTTGGATCAGTTCATTTTCTCTGACTCAGAAAATCTTGGACAATTTCTACCCTAAGCCTGGTTAATGGATAGTCATGGATATCGCACTGCTTGACCACTCTGGGATCCATACAAATCACCTGAAGTCCTTCCACTATATAATGCTACCTCTTTGGAAATCAGTTTATCAAAAAAAATTTTTTTCTTCCCACAGAGCAAAGAAGATTAGTGTGGAAGGAATACTAGGTAAAGTCAGAGGATCTAGGTTTAAATCTTGCCTCTATCACTACTTGTTTGACCTTGAGTAAGTCACTTAACTACTATGCATCTCACCTTCTTCATCTGCAAAATGAGGGGTTTGTACTAGCTCTAAATCTATGATTCTGTGGATTTATAATATATGGATACATCCCTTTAAACACAGGACATTTGAGAGGAGAAAAAGCCTGGAATTTAATGGTACACCCTCATTTTGAATTGGAATTGATAGTTAATCATGCTTTCCTTCTCATTCCCTCTTCTTACTCCTTGCTTGACTTTCCATTAGCTAGACATTGGACAGTCTCATGCATTCCTATGGCCGCTGCCCTAGTCGATCCATCACTCCTCTGTGAAGTGACAGACATTCTCAACATTCTCCTGTGCTTATGTCGTTCAGGTTTTAAAGACTCATGGACAAAACTTTCTTGTGGGGAACCAGATGAGCTTGGCAGATGTACAACTGATTGAAGCTATTTTAATGGTGGAAGAGACGATCCCTGATGCACTGTCTGGATTTCCTTCACTCCAGGTAATTAAAACTGAAGTTTGAAAATTGACTAAAGACTTCTTCCTTAAATATCTGATGATCCATTGGCTTTCAATTTTAAATCTAGTCAGTAAGATTGTAATTAAGAGGACAGGGATTAAAAAACTGATTCTGCCTCTTACTAAGCTAAGTGACTGTGGATAAATCACCTGGCCACTCTGGGCTTCCGATTCCTCATCTGAAGATGGAGAGTTGTCAAAGTGTGGTGGCCCCCGAGACTGTTGGATCTCTTGAGTTCTGGAGTCCTGTGGTGGGCAGTGCAGATGGGCTGTTGATTCACACTAAGTTAGGAGTTAATGTGGTGGGTGGGGTGGGACAGAAAGTGGAACAGGAAATTGGCCCAGGCTGGATGAGATAGGGAGATCCAGTCTTTAAAGATAAAATAAAATGAGAAGTTGGGATAAATGACCTTTCATTTACTCCAAGGTCTCTTCTATGTTCAAATCTACAATTCTAGGAAGTCAGAAGGATCAGGGCTCAGTTCCTACCACATGCAGAGCCTGGTCATGGATTCTTGGTGCTCTGAGGCAATTTTCTAACATGCTGATTTATGAGGAAGTTTCCATATTATGAGTTCCCAACCGTGATGAAATTACAAGTCTAGACAGAAAGGAAAAGAAAATAAATATGTAAAAGACATATATGTGCATTTATGTGTATGTACAAACACATATATTGTATAGATTGAAGTAAGGATAGCGAAAGATTGAGAACTGAATCCCCAACACCCAGTTCTTTTACGTGGTAGGACTATTTGTACTTAAAAATGGCTTTATCTCTACTTTTCTCCGAAGCTGCCCCATGCAACCAAACTTTCCTTATTGAAAGCTGACCCAAGGGAACATTCCTGAAACATCAATTTATCAGTTTCTTCTATACAAGCTGAAGCATAGGAGAGAACAGGAAAGAGTCAGTCCTTAAGATATTGGGGAGTTTCTCTTTTTCTAAATCTAGAGAGCCTCAAATTTAAAAATCTGGCGTCCAAGTACAGACTAGCTCAGGCCACCCCCCATACCCCACCCCTGCTGTGGTTATGGACCTTGTGAGGAGACAGCAGCTTGGACTCTTCTTAGTGTAAACATCTGGTTCAATTTTATTTGCTACTTGGCCCACCTACAGAGTGGGTTAAGGTTCATGGCAAGTCCCCTTCAACTTGACTCACCATTTCAGCATTCTTCCCTCTCTAAGCACATAAAGATAGCTGGGTCCCCATTCTTTTCCCCACTTTGTCTCTTTGTCTCAATGCCTGGCCAGATCCAATTGCACCCTCAAGAGTCTTGGGGCCAAATTCTTTCACAAAAATGTAGTTTCCAGTTAATCCTAGAATTCTCTTGATCTATCTGGAAATGGCAAACCACTCCAGTGTTTTAGCCAAGAAAACCCTAAATGGGTTCTTGAAGAGTCAGACACAACTGAACAACAACAAATCTGTTCTTCCACATTATTCCCTGTAAATAAGAAGGTATTGCTGTAAATTATAGGTATTGTGCCAAATCTAACCCAAGTGTTTTCCTCATCTAATCTCTACTCTGATAACTGCTCTCTCAAGCCCTCTCTAAACATGATCCCCAAAGCATGAGCACCTCCAGCTTTTTGGTCTTCCCTACTCCAAAGAGTAATAATAATGTAATTTGGCCTGGGTCACATGGATAGTTGATTGTGTTTACTTTTAGCAAAGTTCAGAAATAATGATCATACCATGTGCAAACAATGGTAGATAGCTTATCAGGTGCTTATACAATAAAGATAAGGTTTTTAGTGCTTTTTCATTCAGGACCGTGTTTTGACCACTGACATCAGAGAGATGGTGACATGACTTGTGATTGACTTTGATTTGAGCGAGGGAGGGCTGTGGGAAGTCACTAGCCTCACTTTTAAATAGGCACAGTTGATTAGACAGACTCAGGATACAGTGAAGTAGTGAAACCTTTGATTCTCATAGGAAGCGGGTGTGGAACTCAAGATGAGCACACCCAACCTACAGAAGAGAGAATAAACTTTAAATTCCCTATTCCCAGCCACAAGTCCCTCCTAGCTGACTTTCATAGGTAGAAGTCAGCTTAGGTCACAGACTTCCCAAATTGCCCACCACATGTTTCCCTAGGTAAGTTTCAAGCATGCTCACTCTAGGTAAAGCTTAACTTTTGTCCTACTTCCAGCCTCTTTAATCAAACAACCAATTTCACCCAATTTTAGCTTTAGTTACTTTTCCTCTCAATTTCCTTATATGGAAATATAATAGTTTCTTACTTCTCACAAGAGCTTTGGGTCCAACGGTCAGATATTCCCCTGGGTGACTGGAGATGGATACCATGAGTGGAAACCCAGCTGGGCAACTCAGCCCCTCCCCTCGCCTTCCCTCGCCTCCCCTCGCCTCCCGAGAGAGTTCTGCCCAAAGGAAGGTAAATTTTGATCACTGAAAGCTGCCTAGTTAACTTGGGGTTTACTGATTAGATCTCTCTCTCAAAGACCAAGCCTTAAACCCAATTCACTCTGGAGCTCATAGATTGGACAACAAGAGGTCCCTGCCCAAGCACGACTTAATGGTTATTTTTTGGGCCCTCCTGGCTCAGAGTAAATGTAAATAGTAACTGTTTCTCTTTTGGCCAGCAACCCCGAGGGTCTTCCCCTCCCACTTTGATTTGGTTGTTTTTGTTTTTTTTTTAATTAAAGGGGCCATCCCTGGACTCACTTCTTAAAGAGGCCTGTTTACTGAATGGGCATTGCCTCACTCAAAGTGAGAACCCAAAAAGACTTTAGCTTAAAAGGGCCAGTGTCTGCCACAACATCCTGAGGCATCTCCAGTAGTCCTGATGAATATCTGGCCACTAGACCCAGATGGCTCTGGAGGAGAAAGTGAGGCTGGTGACTTCGAAGAGCCCTCCCTCACTCAAATCAAAGTCATTTGATCCTCTTCGAGAATGAAGGACAAACACAATTCAGGAATTGTGAGGGGAATTCCATTGTGGAAAGTTTTTCCAGCAATGTAGATCTTGTCTACAACTTTAGAGCATCGATATTCAAATGTTTTGATGTCAGAACCCCTTTATACTCTTAAAAATGATTGAGGGGGGCAGCTAGGTGGCGCAGTGGATAGAGCACCGGACCTGAGTTCAAATCTGGCCTCAGACCAAACACTTGACACTTACTAGCTGTGTGACCCTGGGTAAGTCACTTAACCCCAATTGCCTTAAAAAAAATAAATAAATAAATAAATAAAAATGATTGAAGGTCTTTCACCCCACAAGATCTTCTGTGTATATGGGTTATTTCTATTGATATTTACCTTATTAGAAATTAAAATGTCTTTAGTATTATCAAGAAATTAGGTTTGGATTTTGCAGACCCCCTAAGAGACTCTTGGATAGCCTAAGGAGTCCCTGGACCACAGTTGAAAAGCCATTGCCTTAGATAGTAACTCGGGCCACAGAGAGGTTAAATGATTTTCCCTTGATCTTAGTGGTCTTCCCTTTTCCAAATTAGTCTTGAATTACTAAAGTTTGACTAGATGTAAAAATGTGACTTTTTTTTTTTTGCCATTCCTAATTATGTAGTTCGTGGGGGGGGGAAGAGTCTCAGTGCCACAGGTACTGAGTTTTTTCCCCACAAGCGTACATATCTATATGGCCAGAAAGAAATGGCTTTACTCTCTACCTTTGGCAGAATGGAGTCATTAAGAGAGAGCCAGCTATAGAGTTGGGGGGGGGGGGGGCTGAGTTCAAATTTTATGTCTGACACCTACTGTCTGGGTTGCCTTGGACAAATTCATTTAACCTCTCTGTGCCTTAGGCAACTGTCCAAGATTATAAATTACCCAGTACTTGCCAATCTGTGTTGTTGATAGAGGCAGTTACCTTAGTAAAAATTCTCTATGCCAAAAGTCAGAGTCAGACAAAACAAAATGGAATTAAAACCTGTAGAAGCTAATTTTGTTTTTAACCATAGATGGCACTGTATCCCTCACACTTAATGACATTTTCATATATTTTACTCACGTTGCACCAAGGAGAGTAAGCAGTATGCTATTGTAGATAGATAATTACAGCCAATCAATAAATATTTATTAAGTGCTCACTATATGCCAGGCATTGTGCTAAGCACCAGGGATACAAAAAGAGACAAAAGACAGAACCTGTCCTCTAAGAGCATATGGTCTAATGGGGGAGACAACATGCAAACAAATATATACTAAGCAGTCTGTATACAGGATAAATAAGAAGTAACTACCAGAGGGAATAATGAATAGAGGAAAGGCTCTAGAATTTAGAGGGATTGAGTTACAAGCCTTAATCTTGGCTCCCCAATTTATTAGCTGTGTAATCTTGGGAAAGTCACTTAACTGATTTTAGTTCACTCAGTTAATCATAGGTTTTGATTATTCATTAAGACCATTTTCACTTTCAATACTGATACCCCTGAATTTTGAGGGGTATTGCCATTATCATTTTGACTTTGTGTCTTGAGGTTTTGTTTTTGTTTTTTTTTTTTTTGCATAAACTTACTTTCAACCTTTTTTCCTCTAGGCATTTAAAACTCGAATGAGTAATATCCCAACAATTAAGAAATTTCTGGCCCCTGGCAGCAAGAGAAAGTCTGCTCCTGATGCTAAAAGTGCGGAAAATATTATGAAGATCTTCCAGGGATAAAACAGCAAACTCGCCCACGGAGAGAGAGATTCTGTGTGTGATTACTCTGTGATTCTAGGACCCTTAATGTCAGACTCCAATCATGCCAGTGCTCTATGAGCCTTCTCTAGATATAGCTGCAGCCCATAGCATTTCAGAGGTGCCTAACAAAACCAGGAATGGCATAGGAGGCAAGGGAAGGGCACTATCTCCATTCTAAATCTCTTCTTCTCCCAGTAATCAAAGGATTAGAAGGTCCTTTCTAAACACTTGACTTTGAGGTCTACAATTCAAGCAGTGATCTCTTGATTTCTTGGCTTTCTGGGTTTCTCCACTTTATCTTACTCTAAACCCTCCCTGGTTCCTCTGGTTCACTCTCTAAGCTTCAGGATATACATGTCCTGAGCCTAATCCTCCCCATCTGTTCCCTGACCTGAGGGAGACCGCCACCAGCTATATGCCTCTTCACCTTCTAGAGTGACCTTGGGAGGAGGCCTTACCTAAACTGCCCCAGCACCTAAGACATTGAGTACTTGCTGAATTTTGTACCATGCTTTTTGTGCTAAACATAGCATTTGAAGTTCTAATAAATAGTACAATGTTACTTAATGCTCCTGACCTGAGTCCCAATTTCCTGCGCTGTGACAACAAATGAAATAGGCACCAAATAAAGGCTTTCTCTTTAGAGATGTGTGGTTTATGTTTAAATTTTTGCCTTTCGAACTGAAAATGGACAGCTAGTCTGTGTTTATTGGTTTAGTCTGGATAGACTGAATGTTCTTTGACAAAGTCCTTCAGAAGGTAGCATTACTGTTGGGATGAAGGGTAAGGTTTGGGAACATGTGAATGATGATGCCATCTCTTCCTGATGCTATACTGATAATTTTTCCCCCTAGTTTTGAGCATCTCGAAGTTTATCTAAGGTCTAGATAACAGTCATTGAAGAAATTTCCTCTTATCAAGATACTTTGTATATAGGTTTGAGTATGTGTGTTTCAGGGTAAGGATATGGTTGATTTCCACCATACCTACCTCCCAGGGCTAAAATTTACAAAAAAACAAAAGACCATTCGTTGACATGGAACATGATTCCTGTCAAAAACAAAACAGAACAAGAAAAACAAAAACAAAAACTAATCAGAGAAAAAAATGAGCCCAGGCTTGAATTTATCACATCAGAAATTAAAACTGATAAAATTCTAAGATTAATTCATTAAAAAATAACAAATCTATTACATGTTATTGTAAATAACAGTTTTATAAAAAAGTTATGTTTGTGAAACAAAAAATTCAGTGAGCAGAGGGGCATTGTTTTACATATTTTTTTCAGATATCTTTAATGTTATGGCTCATATGACAGCTGGATTCTCATATCTGCTTCCGCATTCTTCCTGTTGTGATATGTTATTTTGATTGAAGTATATGAAGAAAAGCCGGCCTCACACAGATATGTAGTTGGAAAAGAGAAGAGTATTTTAATAGGCAAAAAACATCTTGGCATTATTATGAAAATAGTTTTAACTTCAAGGCTCCCCCTGAAAGGCTTGGAGACCCCCAAGGGTCTTTGGACCATACTTTGAGAATCACTGCTTTTGGGGTGGTTAGGTGGCACAGATGAGCCTTGATCCTGAAATCAGGAAGACTTGAGTTCAAATCCAGCCTCAGATACTTACTAGCTGTGTGACTCTGGGCAAATCATTTACCCAGATTGCCTTTAAAAAAAAGGGGGGGGAATCACTGCTTTAGGCCTTTATTAAGAATGAATAGAGGGGGCAGCTAGGTGGTGCAGTGGATAGAGCACTGGCCCTGAAGTCAGGAGGACCTGAGTTCAAATCTGGCCTCAGACCAAACACTTGACACTTATTAGCTGTGTGAACCTAGGCAAGTCACTTAACCCCAATTGCCTAAGGGAAAAAAAAAATGAATAGAAAACATTTTGGGGAATGCAGAATCACCTAGATTTCTTGTAACAGTGAACTTTAATACTCCTGTAGATAACAGGATTTCCCAAGTATAGATGCAAAGATGCAGAACCCAAGAGATTCATGCCTTTCATTCTGTGATTCTTGTCCACATCCTTTGATAAATCCTCTAGTCTCTTAACCTCTCCAAACCTCAGTTTCCTCACCTGTAAAATAAAAGGGTTGGACTGGATGACCCCTAAGATCCTTCCCAGCTTTTGGATCTATGAACCTATGGTTCTTCCATTCTACCTGTAATTTTGATTCTTCTAGGTTCTTGCTGTTCAGTAAAGAAAAGAATTAATGAATTACTTAAATTGCCTATGGGGTATATGGGGTGTTCAAGAGGACTAGTACCTTTAGTGTGACGGCTTGCTGAGGCCTTTTCAGGGCTGCTCATCGACCTTTGTTGTCCACCTGTCACCCAGCTCTCACCTGTGGCTCCAAGAAGCTGTGGCACTCGAAAAGGCAAAACCCCACTAAAACCTTCTGGGCAGACAGGCTAAACCAGGTTAAGGGTGATGGCTAAACCAGGCCATCAGTGAGTTAGGGGAATGTCTACTCCAAGTATATGAAGACTTCCTCTGGTGAAATGGGTGTATGAGAACAATTTGTTCCAATGGCCATGAAGGCAATATTGGCATATCAGGTCAACTTTTCATCTATTTGTTGTCTTAATTTCAATTATAAATGCCTTAAGGATGAAAGAGTTTATTGGGTTTTATGCCAACCTATCTGAATATTTTTTTTGTCTCCAATGCTTTTTCTTGACTTATGAGGCAATACAGTTCTTGATCTTCCAATATTTTCTTCCCTAGTATTCATAATTGAGCTTACACGCTATTCTGTTGATTATTTAGGCTGAGCAGGCCATAAATTCTTCTTTCACAATTCTTATTTCTCTTTTAAAATACTTCAGATTGTAGTGACTGAAATTAAGTTAAACTGAGGCAATAAAGCTCCAAGCACATTCAATTTATTGATAAGGCTAGCAGTTACCAATAAAAGGGGTCTTAAGCTCCTCAGCAAGCCAAAAGACCCCAAAGTGGGGTTTTTCAAGACTTCTTATATTTTAGGGAAAGTAGATAAAAATAGAACAACACGCAGGCAGGACATATGATTAAGTCATGTGGTTTCTATTGGTGGGAGGGATGAGATTTTTGTCCTTGTTGCTAGGAAAAGCTGATTGGTTGTGTCCACTCGCATCTTTGCAAGAATAGCTAGTGGTACAGAGATGATAGGTTTCCTTGACAAAAAGATAAAACAATGAATTACAGAAAGACTAAACTTCTGGACTTCTGGACTTCTGGACTTCTGGACTTCTGAACTTAACTCGGAGATAAAGAAACTGGTGTAAACACTCACACAAAAGGTTGGTACAGAATAGAATCAATTACAAAATAAAATCAATTTGATTCTCAGAATCTTTCTGCTTTGGTTTTGTGCTCTCTTAGGAATCCACAGGGTCCCCTGCTTCTTTGGCTCCAATTCATTTTTCTTTATCTTGAAATATTTAATCACAGATATCTGGGCTTGTTTAGCTGATCTGGAAACCACATTCCCTTCTGTTATTGATATCTGTCCTTTTGGTTCCTCTGCTTAGGTTCAAGATTTTTAACCTTTTTTTTTAAATTTCTCCTCTTGAGCCATCTTTTCGTTTAGTTGCAACTTTCTTCTAGTTTCCTTTATTGTGAGAATGTTGATGTGGTTCAGTTCTTTCATGAATACATCTGTCAGCTTGTTGGTCATTGGATAAAAGTCTCACTTTGGGGTACCAACAGTTAAGTTAATATTCATAGGTGGCCTTGTGATTTCTAGCATCTTTGCCATAACGTTAGAAATTGTTCTCATTTCCACAAATTATTCTTTAAGCTAAACCAAAATCAGAGATACAAACAGGTATAGAAGAATGACATGGTTCAAATCTGGTCTCAGACCAAACACTTGACACTTACTAATTGTGTGACCCTGGGCAAGTCACTTAACCCCAACTGCCTAAAAAACAACAACAACAACAAAAAAAACCAAAAAAAAAGAATGACACAGGCATTTCAGGACAGGTCTCTCCCAACTCCAATTCATCCTCTGCCCAGCTGTCAGAGTGATCTTCCTAAAGTGCAGGTCTGACCATGTCATTCCTCAGTAAACTGCAGTGACTCCATATGTCCTCTTGGAGCAAATAGAAAATTCTGTTTGGTATTCAAAGTTCTTCATAACCTGAGCCCCCCTGCCTTTTTTTTTTTTTGGTGGGGCAATTGGGGTTAAGTGACTTGCCCAGGGTCACATAGCTAGTAAGTGTCAAGTGTCTGAGGCCACATTTGAACTCAGCACCACCTAGCTGCCCCCCCCAGTCTTCTTATACCTTACACAACAACTCTTATACTGTTTGAACTAGTGACATTGGACTCTATCTCCCAACTCCAGGCATTTTCACTGGCTGTCCCCATGAAGGGAATGTCCTCATTTCTGCTTCCTAGCTTCTTTCAAATCCCAGCTAAAACCCCAACTTCTGCAGGAAACCTTTCCCAATTCCTGTTAATACTAGTGTGTTCCCTCGGTTAGTTATTTCCAATCCCGTCTATAGCTTGTTTGTGCATAATTACTTGCATGTTGTCTTCACCATTAAACTGTGAGATCTTTGAGAGCAGGGACTGTCTTTTCCCTTCTTTTGTAACCCCTACAGAGTAGACACTTAACAAATACTTATTGACTGACTGACTGACTAAGCATTTATTAAGTACCAGACCCTGTTCAAAGAGCTGTGACAAAAGTGACATCGTCCCTGCCCTCAAGGAGTTTATGTTCTGTATGGATTCTTCATAAGGTCCCTTTCAAGTTCTAAATCTCTGCTGCAAAATTATATCTCATCGTAATATGGATCTCAGCTATTTTAGTGATTGGGATAAAAGAGAGAAGGTGGGCTGTATAAGAGGAGGCAGTTCCCCATCATAAGATGGTGTGGACTCAGTCAGATGTAGAAGTTATGATTTTGTGATCATTACTGGAAGCATTTCCAGCTTGGTAGAGGCCACCAGTACTTCTGTTCTACTAGCATAGCCTTCAAGAATCTGGCTTCATTTCCATGTTTCAATGAAATATCTGGTAGGACATTGCTGTATTGATAATTCCTAACCAACCTAACTCATGGGATTACGGGGGGGAGGGGGGGAGGGAGGGAGGAAGTGATGGGGTTCTTGGGTGCTTGAGCTTGTACTTGGACCCCAATTTCTCCCTAGTCTCAGAAACACTGTCTCTGACAACCACTCCCCAGCCCAAGGACACTGTGCCTAGCAATTATTCATGCGTTGGCCCCAGTAGAACTCTTATGTCTCTCCCTGGTGCAGCTACACAAAGCTGGGTGAGAGAGTGCTAGGCTGCTCAGGCCCCAGCCATCAGACCATGTCTCTGGAAGCCTCCCAATTCCTTAGTAAGCTCCTGTCTTGTGAGAAGGCTTTCCCTTGTTGCAGAGCATTCTCTCATCAAGACAGAGGGAGAGGGGTGCCTTGCCCAGCCCAAGGAGCTTTGTCCTTGGCCGGCCCAAGGACTCTTCCTCCTGCCAGACTCCCAAGATCCATCCTCTGTCATCTCCCTCCCTGCCCGGTGTACTCCCTGTACTTTCCCATCCATAGCTCCCAAAGACACCTGCACCTTTGGATGACCTCATCAGTGTCCCTGGCATTCCTTTCCCATGCCTTTTTCCATATAAACCCTAGCTCTATCCTCAGT